TTATTTATTTATTTATTTGAAAGCAGAGTTATAGAGAAGCAGAGGCACCAAGAGACAGACACACACACACACACACACACAGAGAGAGAGAGAGAGAGAGAGAGAGAGAGGTCTTCCATACACTGGTTCACTCCACAGGTGCTATGCTGATCCAAAGCTGGGAGCTAGGAACTTCATCCAAGTCTCTAACGCAGGTGCATGGGACCAAGGATTTGGGCCATCTTCCACTGCTTTCCCAGGCCATAGCAGAGTGCTGCAGAAGTAGAGTGGCCGGGTCTTGAACCGGTGTCCATATGGGATGCTGGCCCTGCAGCCGGTGGCTTTACCCACTACCCTGCAGCACCAGCCCCTTGACCTGGTTTACAGTTAATAGGGTTTAACCTTATATAGCACACTCTATAGTTTACTTCTTATTTAATTTGTGTTATTCTTTGCCTTTTCCTGTTAAAATATAAGTTCTGTGAGAGTGTGGATCCTATTCCATGTTATTCAAAGATAGATCCGAAGCATTGAGAATAATGCTTAACACATACTAAATACTCAATGAATATTTTTGACAAATTAGTGAGCAAAAAGAATCCATGATAATATCTTCCCTCTTTCAATCAACAATACTTAACTAACATACAATCCTTCTTGAGTGCTTAATGTGTGCCAGGCATTGTCCTAGTTATCTTATATGGAACACTCTAAAGATGCTACCAGTGTTACTCCCATTATATAGATAAGAAATTTAGAATGTATAGAGGTGAAGGATGTTGCTTGAGATGAATTCATTAGCTAATTGCAGGGTCCTGACAAACACGGGCAGATTGATTCCCCAGCTTGCATTCTTATCTGCTACAGCTACATGTATATCATGTATATAGCACACATGTACATTACATACATGCAATTGCTCTTTTGTCTTAACCAAGGGGTAGTTCTAATGATGGGAATTTTAATACAAAAGAAAGCAAAGTGACACATGTTAGGCCAGAAAGGAAACTGTTTCTGAGTTAGAAACTTTTTAAATTATGCTCTCTCCCATGTTCTGCAAAACGAGTCATTTAAGATATTCTGCCACTGGCATTCAAGGGTGGGAAGAGTTGCCTTTTTGTGTAAATAATAAAATCTGAGTTTTCTTGATCTCTTTTTAACGTTGAGCTTTCCTTACCTTGCCTTTTGCAACCAACTCTCTTGACCAGAGAGAATAGACAGAGGCACCTTTAGAGAATGGCTGTGCCCAGCCTTGGGCATTATCACGACTCAACAGGAAGCAGGGTAGGCAAGTAAGCGAGGGAGATAGGTGCAGCCGAGCCAGAGCTGTCACCTGCTCCAAGAGGGCAGTGCTTGCCCCCGAGATCTTGCAAGTGGGATGATGACCTTACAAGGTTACAGTCATGGGACTTGCCAAATAGTTTGCAATGGAATAAAAGATTGAGGAAAGAATCAAAGATGACTGTGAGAGGAGAGTTACAGCTGCTTGAGTGCTCTGCCTTTCAAATAAATAAATTAATATTAAAAAATAAATAAAAATACTAAGCCTTCTAGAATTGCCTGAAAATTTAAAGTGCCTGTGTATGTAACAGTGATAAAAAAATAAAAACCACATTTTTTAAGGATTTATTTATTTATTTATTTGAAAGACAGAGTTACAGGTTGAGAGAGAGAGAGAGAGAGAGAGAGAGAGAGAGGTCTTCCATCTGCTGGTTCACTCCACAGATGGCTGCAACAGCGGGAGCTGCAATGATCAGAAGCCAGGAGCCAGGAGCTTCTTCCACATCTCCCAAATGTGTGCAGGGCCCTAGGAATTGTGCCATGTTCTATTGCTTTCCCAGGCCATAGCAGAGAGCTCGATGGGAAGTAGAGCAGCCGGGACTCAAACCGGCGCCCATATGAGATGCCGGCACTGGAGGCAGCAGCTTCACCCGCTATGCTACAGCGCCAGCCTCAAAAACTACATTTTGAAAGGAGCCAAAGAAGGGACTCAGTAAGATAGATGAGTAATATCCATATATAAGTAATATCCTACATAAGGGATTTGATATCATATCATCTCTTTGTTTTATCCAAAATGAATGAGCCCATGTCTTCTATGGAAATGGAAAACATTAGAGTATTGGAAGTGATAGGAATGTGACAGAGATGACAGAAAGTCCAGTAGACATACATAAGGGGTTCCCAGCATCAGCTGGCCCAAACTGACATAGATAGCCTGAGTTGGTAGTCTACCTTGTCAGTGAAAGGTTATGGTTTTCTATAACAACTGCAGTCTATGAATGAACTAACCAATTGTGTATGTAGGCCTTTTTACTAGTGAGGAAGTGTTGATGAGTAATTATAGGAAAGGACAAAATCTATGTTGCTCCTAATCCACTATTAGGGAGTCATTTAAATCCAGACTTGAGGAGTACAAGGGAAATAGCAGAGATCAAGAAACTGGAGATTAAAATTAGAAAGCAGAGAATGAGGACAGAGTATGTGCAATGGGTAGCAAAGATGGATTGTGACAGTTGATGCTGTAGAGTACAACTTTAAGCCACAATGATGTAGGGGAGCTCCCAGTCCATGCAGGCAGCCGGCATTAGGCAGGTGCATAGGGATACAGCCATAAGAAACATGAGACACAAGGTAGACATGTAAAGGTACTTAGTGAACCAGAAGTAGCAATGGTCTTCCCAAGGAGACTATGGGCACAGGCGTGTTTGTTAGAGGTTAGTCCAGACGGGGTACTCCAGATAGGTCAGCAGTCCTGGCAATTGCCCCGTGGCACGTGCTCCTGAGCTCACATTCTGCTAGGGGCGCATGATCACACCACATGCTGTCAATAAAGCAAAGTATGGAGCCTCTGAAATATGCCTACGAATTAGTAAGGGAAATGTGAATCTTTGTTACATGATTTGCCTTAATGATTAGAGTGTGTTCTAAGTAAACTGAAAAATTGATTGTCAAAGACTGCTAATACCTTTTTAATTCACAAAGGTTAAGCACATAGAAGTTAGGATATTGAAAGCATAGTTTCTCATAGAATTATTAATTTGTCAACATTATGCATTCTAGATGTGGGAGGTGTGTATTTCATAATATAAAAGCAGTAGGAAATTTTGCAAAATGTGGCTCAGCTCAACAAAATAAAACAAACTCAGGGGAATGTCATTAAACATAATTATAGAAATTATTTTGCAAAGCACAAAGAAGGGTTATAAAGCTTCATTTTAGACAATAATGTCTTCAAATATTAAAAAAAACCTTTTCAATAAGATTTTTTATTCTTAGCTAAAATCAATTCCCTAGCACTTTCTACATTCTGAAATTGCATTACAGCTCTGATTTGTAGTTCAGATTTGATCCCAATAGACCAAAAAAGGAACTTACAGTCTATTTGAGAGATCTAGTTGATACACATTTCAGATTCATAGAGTAAAAATAAAATTTAAGGATTTAAGATGCAGTTTTTGTTTAGTATACAGACAGTAGGGGTGAAATTTTTAAGTATGAGGATGCCCTCCAATGCCACTATATTGTTCATATATTTCTCCTCTGAATATTCATGCATATTTATTTGCATATATGTATTATGTAAGTTCCAATCTGATCCTGCAAAATACCTTAGGTAAGTGGTGTAGAAGAAGAAAGCAAGAATCCGGCATGGTCAGGGAAGGAAATATACCAGAGAACAAACTTGGAGCCTTGAATAGTCTTTCTGCTCTCGCTCCATAAACGACATGGACAGTGCGCCTGGAAGGCTGTGTTCTCTGAGACAGCTGGACTGAGCCACGGGTGGGGTACTTGATGACCAACTAGTAGCTCCATTTCCTCTGTAGGAGAGACAAGAAGTAGGAGCTATGGTTCCATGCAGTAACCTGGGTAGGGTGTTACTTTTCAGTTCAATCAGAATTAGAGGTAGGTCAGAAGGAAGGAAAGAAGAAGAGAAGGAAAGGAGGGAGGGATGGAAGACCAGACAAAGGAGAGCCTTTGTGATAGCATGAAAATATTTCCCTCCTGCTAATGAGATACTATATTGCCACCATTATAATTTGCAGTGCAGTTTTTTTTTCAGTCTTAAAAATGTATTTATTTGTACTTATATTTGAAAAGGAGATGTGTGCACACACACACACACACACACACACATACACAGAAAGGGAAAGAGAGAGTGAGAGAGAGAGAGAGAGAATCTTCCATTCACTGTTTCATTCCCTGAATCCCTGCAACAGCTGGGGCAGAGCCAGACCAAATCCAGCCCCTAGGAACTCCATCTCAATCTCCTATGTGAGTAGCAGGGACTCATCTGTAGCTTCCCAGGGTTTCCACTACCAGGAAGCTGGAATCAGAAGCAGATCTAAGCCCTGAACCCAGGGGCTCTGATATGGGATAGAGGCATGCCACAATATCTTATCTTGCAATGCTGTTGTATGACTCAATTCCAATCAATATTCAATTTTAAGCACTTCTGAAGTTTTTTGATCCATTAACTCAAATATGAGTTTTTGGGGGTATGTTCTTTTATGGTTCAAAAATAACAAATGAAAATCAAGAAATAGTCCCCCCTCCAAAAAAAAATGTAGATCCCAAAAATATGAAGAAAAATTGACATTTTGCTAAAATGTCTACTTTGTGTTGTATTTTATGTCCCAGCACAGCAGTCTGCAGAACAATAGAGGTCCATTCATAGGAGTGAAATATGTAAATTCCTGAGCCAGCAGACTCCTGGCCCACGATTGAAACCACCTCTTCAGAAAGGGCACAAAAGTCTGCCTTTTTCCCTGAAACATCTATGTGACCACATTCCATGGCAATAAACTCTTTAGAAGTTTGATGAAGAAAAAAAGCTTTGTCTATTTAATCTTTACCCTCCAGCACCTTCTGCTGCCAGACACACCAAGGGACGCACGCACACCGCCAGCCCGCAGGATGCACAAGCAAGTGTTGCTGAGTAGATAGAAGTATGGTGGTATTTGGGCAGTTCAACGACAAGCCACTGAGTCTTCCTTTTATTTTTGATTTTCCTTATTCAGGCACCACAAGGCCACATAAGGAGGGCGAGGTCCCTGGAGTGGACTACATCTTCATCACCGTTGAAGATTTTATGGAATTGGAGAAAAGCGGTGCTCTCCTGGAAAGCGGCACTTATGAAGGTGAGCGCGACTCTCCTGCCGTCTCTCTTCCGTGTTGCCTCAGTTTTCCCAAGTGCTTGGGATGCATCTGGATCTCAGCTAACCAATGTGCTGTTGTTTGGGGCTTGAGAGCTTTAATACGATCGTTTTAGAAATGTGTCCTAAAGAAAAGTTCAAGTATAACCGTAGTTACCCTATTCTTAAGGTGCCATGAGAAATATGTATGTCTATTCCCACTGAAGTATCCTTGTGATTGTCTCTTGAGGCAAAAGTGTAGCCTTCCAGATAAAATGTTGCTGAGTCTAGGTGGCATCTGAAAGTGGGCAGGGTAAGGTTACCATCCTTGTCACTAACTCTGCAGTTTCCTCAAGTTTCTTCCACTTCCCTGGCCATTGCTTACCTCCAATGTGAAATTATGGGGTGGGAAAATGTGATGGGTGGATGACCGCCAGGTCTCCTTGGGTACTCAAAGCAAACACAAACAGCAAATAAGACCCAAACTTTGGATGCATGAGGAATGTTCATGAGAAAGTGTACTGTAACCTGAGCCAGAATCTGTCTCAGTCCTTAAGCTGGCTACATTACCAGCTACTATAAATAGTGCAACTCGTATAGTAGTGCTGCACCTTAGTAGTATGAGCTGAGAAAGGGGAATGGCAGCTTTGAAAAACACAATTAAATAATAATGTGTTGATACAGTGATGTTTGTCCGTTTGGATAACATTCACATGAATTTACTTTCAATTTAAAGGAATTAGATTTCTGTGTATATATAAAATGAATTTTTGAAGTAACATAGCTAAAAATAAGTAAAAATACTTTTCATTCCTAATTCCTTCCTACTTCATATTTTTACTTTATATTTTTAGCCTATGTATATGTACTACTAAGTTCAAAGATAAATTCAGCTTTACTGAGCTGCAGCTAATAGTGAATGATGCTAAAACCAAAATTTACCAGTTTGGCCCAGCAGTTAAGATGTCACTTGAAACACTTGCACCCCATATCAGAGTGCCTGGGTTCCAGGTCCGGCTCTGTTCAGTGGACTGTAGTTATTCAAGAACTCAGTTTTTTGAGATTGGTGGATGTATTGAAATCTTTTATGTTACGTGGCATTCCTAAGGCAATTAGGCTGAGACATTTGCCTAAATATGACAGAGACTGTTAGCTACTTATTGCCACATTTACAGGAAACAGGGAGAAATTCTGAAGGAAAAGAAATGATCTAATGCGTTAGTGCTGTATCTTCTTCCCACTGTCAAGAGAAAAGATAATAGAGATTGATTGAGCACATTTTACAGAAAGAAGCTGTGTTGAAAATTTAAAGCTGTCTTATATAAAAAATAGCCATCTGTCTAAATCATAGAAACTAACTTTATCAAAGAAGCTACAGTAAATAAAACTTTATAGAATATTTTCTTGTAGGCTTTATCACATTATTTAGCAACATTTATTAATCTCCATGTCTGTCAATAATAATGTATTATATTTAGTTACCTTATTTAAACACCTTATCAATGTAGTGGGGAACTAATGGATTAATAAACAGAATCACTCCAAATGCAGCATGATTAACAATATGGCTTTTTGCGTGTAAAAAATAAGACTAAAAAATTGATTGGATATAAGTTGAAAAAATAAGCCAAATGTCTATTTTAATTATTAGCATAACAAACCACATATCATGAAATTTAATATCAATATTTTAAAATATAACTTAGATTATATTTTAAGTTTCAGTTAATTTTTGATGGAAAATCCTGAATTTTATGAGCATAGCCAAATATTTTTAGCTGGAAAGGGTTACTCTGAAATGCCTTCAGACATCTTTTCAGCACTTGAGAGTTTAGTTGTTGGCCTTAGTGATCACGTATAATCTGATTATTAAGCTGCATATCAAACAGTAAGACTATGGGGTGGAGTTTGACTCAGTCATTAAGGTGACACTGAGAGGCCTCCATCCCATATCGGAGCACCTGGGTGTGAGTCCTGATCTGCTTCTGATTCCCGCTTACTACTAATGTGCACACTGGGAGGTATCAGGTGATGGCTCAAACTGATTGGTTCCCTGCCAGCCACATGGGAGACCTGGATTGGGTTCCCAGCTTCTGACTTTCCTGCCTAGCCCATAGTCTTACTGTGTGGCCCTAGGCAGAACTTTAATGGATTCTTAAAGCTTTTCTTTTGTCCTACCCTCAGTCTGAATGTGTCATTTCAGTTTGCCATAGAATAGTAACTGAGTGGCCTTGCATATGAATGATGTAGAGATCTTGGTTCTGATGACAGCTCTCAGGTGTTGGTAAAGGAACTCTTTTCCATGATTTGGATGATATTTTTACCTTTTCAATCAAGTTGATGAAATATACTAGTAAAACATGTTATTAATAAAGCTATTAATAATGAGTATTGATTAATAGAACAACATGCAGTAATGAGCCTTATTTAACCATGAAAATTCTATAAGCTTTTATATTAGACTACCAGGGTAAGGTATTTCCAAAAGTAAATAGAAATCAGAATTATGAGTTTATTCCAAAAAATTCTTAAAATTCATAGAACATATTTCATAATACACATTTCCATCAACTCTGAAAATTCTTCCATATATAGCTTTGAAACTTTTGTTTACTCAAATAAATTTATCTTTAGTTCAATTCTCCACAAGCGTTTTCAAGTGGTCTCATATCAGCCTCATGTGAAATATAGACTACCTTGCTCTATGGCTGAATGGAGATTTTTCTTTTCAAATAAAGGACACATATAGGTTTAGATGAGAAACATAATTAAATGAGTAGATCTGAGATGCTATAAGTTAAGGACTCTTTAAATACCTGGGAGGTGATATTAAAACTGATACCACAGATATACAAAGAATCATTAGGGACTATTATGAATACCTATATGTCAACAGATTGAGAAATCTAGGGGGGAAATGGAAGAATTTCTGGATACACATTACCTATCAGAATTGAACCATGAAGACAGAAAACCTGAACAGGCCAATAGCAATGAGATTGAAACGGTAATAAAAAGTCTCTAAACAAGGAAAAGTCTGGGACCACATGTCTTTGCTGCATAATTTTGTCAAATTTTTAAAGAAAAACTAATATCAATTCCTCTCAAATTATTCCTAAAAAGTTGAAAATGGATGCAGGAGGGGCCGCAGCCGTGGCTCACTTGATTAATCCCCCTCCTGCGGTGCTGGCATCCCACAGGGGCACCGAGTTCTAGTCCCGGCTGCTCCTCTTCCAATCCAGCTCTCTACTGTGGCCCTGGAGGGCAGTGGAGGATGGCCCAAGTGTTTGGGCGCCAGCACCCACATGGGAAACTGGGAGGAAGCACCTGGCTCTTGGCTTCGTAGCGGCCATTTGGGGAGTGAAGCAACGGAAGGAAGACCTTTCTCTCTGTCTCTCTCTGTCTCACTGTCTATAATTCTACCTGTCAAATAAATAATTTAAAAAGAAAATGGATGCAGGAGACCCTTTTAAACTAAAATGATTTTTATAATAGAGAATTACCTGGAATCCAAAACCCAGGAAAGACGCAACAAAAATAAAACTATATATGAACATCCCTCATTGACATAGACACAGCATTTTTAACAAAATACTAGCAGATGAAACCCAACAGCACAACAAAGAGAGTATTCATCACAATCAATGCTATTTACCCAGTGCATACAGAGATGGTTTAACAAAGGCAAATCAATAATCCATACACCACATCACCTGAATGAAGAACAAAAATCATAGGATCATCTCAATAAACATAGAAAATTCCTTCAGGAAAATTCAACAGCATCATGATCAATAAACAATCCTAAGCAAATTAGATATAGAAAATACATACTTTAATATAATAAAGGGTATAGGTGAAAACCCCTCCAGGAACTTCATATTGAATATGGAAAAGTTAAAAACATTTTCCAAAAGATCCAGAGCCAGACTGGGATGTCTGGTCATACTGATCTTATTGAATACTAAAATGGAACTTTTAGGCCCAGTAATTAGACAAAACAAAAAAATAAAGCCATACAGGTAGGAAAGGAGGAAGTAAGTTCAACTTTATTTGCTGATTACTTGATTTCCTGCATAAAAGAATCTAAAGATACTATCAAAGACAATTACAACTAATAAAGGAATTAATCAAAATTTCAGGCTTCAAAATCAACATAAATATAGCAGCATTTGTGTACTTCTATAAGGAACTTACTGAGAATGAATTCATAAATGCAATTCAATTTATAATAGCTAAAAAATACCTTGGAATAAATTTAAACAAGGATGTCTAAGGCCTCTGCAATGAAAGTAATAAAATGAAAATGAAAAGAATTTGAAGAAGAAACAAAAAAACCCATGTTCATGTGGATGCAAAGAATTAATATTTTTAAAATGTCTACACTGCCAAAGAAATTTACAGTTCAATGCAATCCCTGCCAAAATGTGAATAAAATAATTCATAGTTGTAGAAAAAAAAATCCTAAAATTCATATGACAACACAAAATCCCTGAACACTCAAAACAATCTTGAACATAAAGAACAAACCTGTCGGCATTACAGTTCCCGATTTTAAGGCTTTCTACACATCCGGAACAGCATGGCACTGGCACAAAAACAGACACATAGACCAATGGAACAAAACAAAGATGCCAGAAATGAACCCATGTCTCTACAGTCAACTGATTCTCAGCAAGGCACAAGAAACATACATTGGAGAAGAGACAGCCTTTGGGAAAACTGGATAGCCACATGCAGAGAAATTAACCTGCACTTCTAGCTCTCATCATATACAAAATCACCTCAAAATGGATACCAGACTTAAGTGAAAGACCTAAAACTAAGAAACAACTAGAGGGAAACATAGAAGGAGCACTTGAAAACATTTGTAGAAGCGGGGCTGGTGCTGTGGTGCAGTGGGTTAACTCCCTAGCCTGAAGCGCCAGCATCCCATATGGGCACCAGTTTGAGACCCGGCTGCTCCACTTCCCATCCAGCTCTGTGCTTTGGCCTGGGAAAGCAGT